TAAGTTGGTAGTTTGGAAAGATCTATATACACTGGTGTGCAAAACTTAAGCAACAGGTGGGTTTATTGCCTTAACTTCACGAAAAATCATCTGAGAGACATGAAATTCAGAAATGAGGGAGAGCATTATGTACGTAAAGGATGACGAAAGCATCGGCGCTGAAAAAGGAATACAATGCATACGGTATGGAATCAAACAAAAACAAGCTTTATTGAACGCATAGTATCGTGACTCATGATGGTCTATCCAACAGGAAGAACAAGCAGTTGATGGTATATGTCCTCCCCTCACTGCAATGGTTGATTCGCACCGTCTCCGCATACTCAGAACCAGCTGGTGCAACATTTCTTGCGGTAGGAGTGCCCATTCTTCAATCTGCATCTGTTTGAAATGATGGGTGTTCTCCGGATGATGTAAGCTTGCTGCAATACGTCTCCCCAAAGCATCCCACACATGTTCGATGGGATTTAAATCTGGGGAGTACGCTGGCTAATCCATTTGAGTGATATCTTCACTTTCCAGCAGCTCCTCAACAGCAAGAGTCCGATGTGGCCGTGCATTGTCATCCATACAAATGAAGTCTGGGTCAATGGCACCTCGGAACGGACGCACATGGGGAAGAAATACCTCCTCACAATAGCGATCCCCGATTACAGACCCTCTATCGAAAATGTGGAGCTCAGTTCGCCCGTTCAGTATAATGCTTCCCCAGACAAGAACTCCAGGACCACCGTAATGGTGTCTTTCCTTGATGTTACTGGTATAAAACCGTGTCCCGATCTCTCTTGAAATCAAAACGCATTGACAATCGCTTCTGGTACTGAACCGACTCTCATCCGTAAAGAGGACACGACTCCATTGACAGTTGTCCAGTTTTTGTGCTCTCTGCACCTCTGTAAACGGTGGTGTTGGTGGTCAATTTTCAACGGGAGGCAGCGTTCAGGACGGCGGGTGAATAGGCCCCCTTTGTGAAGGCGTCTGGCCACAGTAAACCGCGGCACTTGTCGCTTCGTTGCTGTAGAAAGTTGCTGAGCAATGACGCTTGCTGTCTACCGTCGGCCTCTTTTCGCCTGCAGGATGATATATTGGTCATCCCCTGCAGTTGTCGTCCTCGGGCGGCCACCACCAACCTTTCTAACAGCTGTACCTGTGGTTTTGAACGCTTTCCAAGCGCGCGAAACGACACTTTTGTTGATTCCGAATTCTGCAGCTACACTGGTGACGGTACGCCCCTCCTTCAGCTTTCCGATCATTCTTCCACGTGTGAAGTCATCCAGGTGATTTCTTCTAGCCATATTTCACGAACTGACTCACTGGCACTTGCAGCGAATATGTTGAATTGCGTCTCCGTCCTTCATTTTATTTTACTGTTGAACAGCACGCGCCGACATCACGCGTTTTGCGTACGCTCACGTCGCTTCTGACGTTTCGTTCCTGATATTTGCATACGTATGACGTTTCTACTGACTTATGTGTTCACTGTACTGATCTCCAGACTTCTCCTTTTCTGCAATTTCATGGTTATCTGCTTTATTTTTACATTGTTGCTTAAGTTTTGCACACCAGTGTATATGTCCAGGCAATTAACGCTTTGGTTGAGTGAGGCATTTATATACGCTTGAGAGGCTAAAGTCGTATTGTAGACTTAGCGTCAAGTTATAGTATTATTGAATTTAATACATTGTTATTGTATGGAGGGGGTGGCGATGAAAATTGTGATCGAATATTGGGTCGCAAATATTGAAAGTTTGAGAAGCACTGCTCTGTACCACAGAGCATAGGTAATTTCTTATTATAAATAATTTTCTCCGTATAACGGAGAGATTCACCCTATTGCATATACTACGAAGAAATTTCTTTTTGAATTATTCTTATATAGTTTTAGTTTGAGATCGTAACAAATATTGACTTCTTTTATGTAAACTATTCGAAAGAACGAAAAAACGAAAGCATTTTAAAGGAAAGAGTTTTGAACGTTTCAATGATTTTGGATTTTGAGTAAAAAAATAAGATTTAGAAAGTTAAAACCATGATATTTATTTTTCACCATTAAGTGTTTGAATAGGAAAATCTAAATTTTTCTGTACATTTCTGTATGGTAAAGAAAAATAAAGTATAAAAATAAGGAATTTATTCTTAGGTGGTGGGAATTTAATTAACTTAACGCCCCTAGCGATGTTTTATACAAGTAAATGAAATCATAACGAATTAATACGAGTAGAAATTATTAAACCCTCGAGAAATGCATAGAAATGGTCTGAGAAATAGAAAGTTAATTGAAATGGGTACTAAATTAGAAGACAATTGAAAAGCTGAGCTCGACTAATTAAATTAATAGTTTGGCGTTTAAAATATTAATCATTTGTTTGAAAAACTAAAAGGCAAATATGACTCCTACAGCCACATATTATACCTAGAGTAACAAGATTTAAATTAATAGAAAATTTTAAAGAAATGTTTTTAGAGTGTTTGGGGAATTAATATTTTTGAGGACAGATTCGCATATTGAAGGATTATCTAGCATATTGATATTAAATTCTTAATTAAGGAAATCAGGTTAGTTTTTAAACTAAACAATAAAAAATGAAATTTAAGTAAAGGGTGCTTTTTTTAGAGATATAGAACTTTAAATTGCAATAAAACAACGATGTATTATTCGATTGACATGAATTTTTTTATTCGAAAGATAATCTTGTGGCATTACATTTTAAATATGATTTCTGGCATAGGACTGCCACGGCTGGCTCGGATGTAGTCCAATCTGGACGTCCAATTTTCGATGACTTTTCCAACATTTGTGGCCGTATATCGGCAACAACACGGCGAATGTTGTCTTCCAAATGGTCAAGCGTTTGTGGCTTATCCGGATAGACCAATGACTTTACATAGCTCCACAGAAAATAGTCTGGTGGTGTTAAATCACAAGATCTTGGAGGCCAATTCACAGGTCCAAAACATGAAATTAGGCGGTCACCAAACGTGTCTTTCAATAAATCGATTGAGGCACGAGCTGTGTGACATGTTGCGCCGTCTTGTTGGAACCACAGCTCCTGGACATCATGATTGTTCAATTCAGGAATGAAAAAGTTAGTAATCATGACTCTATACCGATCACCATTGACTGTAACGTTGTGGCCTTTATCGTTTTTGAAGTACGGACCAATGATTCCACCAGCTCATAAAGCGCACCAAACAGTCAGTTTTTCTGGATGTAACGGTGTTTCGACATACACTTGTGGATTAGCTTCACTCCAAATGCGGCAGTTTTGTTTGTTGACGTAGCCATTCAACCAGAAGTGCGTTTCATCGCTAAACAAAATTCGCTGAATGAAAATCGGGAACAACGGCAATCTCGTTTTGGGCCCATTCGACAAATCTACGCCTTGCTTGATGATCGTTTTGATGAATTGCCAAACTAAACTGAGAATAAATCCCTTGACAGCTGTTAAATCGGTCGCCATCTTGGAAAGTAATGCCAACTTAAACTTCTATTCCTGAAAAAAAAACACTTTATTATTCTAGTGCTACGGTAATGAAATCTAAAACAATCCCTTTCAAGCAATAGTGAGGAAAAACGCACATTAAACAGGCAAAACTTAGGAGTTTAATGTGATGTGGTTTTGAAAGATAATAAAGTTAGGTATCATCTCGGGTGATATCCTCGTTACCTGATGGCGACTAAAAATTACAAGGTCTGCATCAATAATCTATTGCGCTGCTCTAGTGCAACATTGATACGATACCAAATCAATCTAGTCTCATTGTTTATTCGATTTGTCTTTTTAGTAAAAAGAGTCTTGTGAAATAATCTGGGCATTTACGACATTGACACTGCTTGGAAGTTTGGTAAGCGAGGTACAATTACCCAACCCTTTGAGGCCGTGGAAGCCGAGTGGTCGTGGTCGTGAACTCGTGACCAGCGTTGTAATGCCCGTCGTGTAGAGGGGCTAATGCATGTTAAATCTATCGAAGCTCAAAGTTCTCCTGTTTATGGGGTGTGGAAGTTTGGAGAGGATGTTCCATCTTAGGGGCTGCCCTCTTCACTTGACGGTTCAAAATTATAAAGTCTGTCGCCAATGGGCTCAATTCGTGACGGTCACGTGATAAAGACAAACACCATTGAATTCAAAACAAACTTTCAAATAATTGTGTACTTGTTGTTCTATTTATAAAACTTAAATAAAATTTCAAATTTCCCAATTGGGTAAAAATGCTCAAATGTTGCAAAGAATTTTTTTTTCTTCTTTAAAATTAAAAAAAAACATTATTTTATGCCTGGACTTTTACATGAAATGCATTTTTATACACATGTACATCATTATTCTTGACAAATACATAATATTAAGAGAAAGTTTCTATAAAAAGTAAACGTTGGCAACCACGAAGCGCATGAACTTATTTGCTGGAAGTACATGATTACTTTCAACGTATGACTATGACGTCACGTGAGTTTTTGAACTGATTGGCTAAAGACATGTGGTTATCATTATCATGTGACTATGACGTCACATGAATTTAGTCCATTACCCTCGTGTTGCTTCAGAGTGTAATGTTAGAAAAAATTAAATCAATCAACCGCGATTCGAAAAAAGAAGTCAATTTTTCAAGAAGAAATTTTTTCTCCATCGAGTAGCTAATATACAAGCAATATATATATATATATATATATATATATATATATATATATATATATATATATATATATATATAATTTCAAGTCAATTCCTACTTAAGTCAACAAAGAAAAATTTTATTTTATTGTTATTTTTTATTAAATAATTGCAATTAATATAAATGTGTATATACGCATGACAGAATCACAATATTAAATAGCAAAATTGAAAGCGATTTTCTTTGCAGTTTTTCATTTTCCTTTCTATATAGGGTGTTGGACTATTATTTCTGTTTGTTACTATTTATTCATTAATTAAATTTAATTATTAAATTATTCATTAATTAGTATTCATTCATTAATTAAATCACATTCTCCGAAATTAGGACATGCCAGGTGGAATTCGAATCCACGACTTTCGGATCAGAAGTCCAACGCGCTATTCATTGCGCTACAGGAACACGACGAGCGACTTTCCTTTTTATATATGGTGCTGGACTATTATTTTTGTTTGTTACTATTTATTTAATAGTTAGATAGAATTAATGAATTAATTTTTTTAAAAACTGTATTAACGCCAAGTGTGATCCACTACAAGTTTAAAAAAATGTATTTGAACTTGAGTGGATGAATACAAAGTATGTTATAAATGATTAAAAATTTGAACAAGATATATATATATATATATATATATATATATATATATATATATAATATATATATATATATATATATATATATATATATATATATATATATATATATATATAGGGAGAATGTGAACTAATAAAGTAGGGATTGAAAAAGAAATAATACTCAATTAAGAGATCATCGTGCACTTTGAGTTAATTAATTGAATTAATTAAAGGTTCAGCAGCTCAATAATTAATAGATGCATCAATAGACACTAACATCCCTATTTGGTTCTTGTATAAAATTGCAGATACTTGAAAGCGATTTTTGTTTTTGAATCAGTCAGAAAATTCTCTTTATAATCTGTGCTATATCCAATCTAATGCTGGAAGACTTGTACCACTTGCAGTCTGGGCAGTGCTTCCATACGTGCAATGCTCATACCCACATACATGTATGCATGCGATGCCGTAAATGCCGGTGAATTTGAATTTCGCCCCGAAGGGTATCCGACAAATCTGCGAACCTCCCTCTGATTGGTTGGTGGAGCTTATGCATTTAGAGGGAACGAAAGAGGGATCCACCTTATTAAAGCAGACCCCAGGCTCTTTTTCAAAATGTACCAACAGCACAAGTTGAGCAAAGATATCACGTCTCTGTGTAGAAATGTGCGCTTTTTTTCCCCTTTTTATTTTTCCATCCCTTCCCAAATATCAAACGACACCGGGTTTCTTTTATCGTAAGGTAAAGACGTATGCCAATAGTTTGTGTCGGGGTGGGAGGGGACGTGTGTATGGATATATTTTAATATCTTGACGATTTTTTTAAAAGGTGTGGGGAGGGGAGTTTTTTTTTTTTTTTTTCATAGTTGTGTTGGGTTGAGACCCATCCTCTCTTCTCATTCTTTCTTTTGAAGAAGTTCTCCAGTGGGACTAATTTTGCTCCGAGGTGGAATTTTCTTTGAGCATCGGGGGTCGGGTAAATATTTACATGCCGATTTACCTGTCTTCCTTCGGATGCAACTAAATCGTTTTAAATGTTCTCGAAGAATTTGATAGATTTATAAGCTATGGTGTATATTAACCAGGGGAGGGGGTTCAAACGATTTGTTATGCACTGTAGTTTTTTTTACTGAACAACTAAGTAATTATGTAAGTGAAATCATAGTTTTATAATCATGTATCGACTCTATATCTTCTTTGTAAGGAAATTCTTTATATTATAGTCTTTATTAACACCATACTATAAAACATTGGCTATTGGCGGTGGACCTTGTAGCTCTGAACCCCGATCTAGTGACGAGGACAACACCTGAGCTGAAACGCCAATCGCCTAGTGCTCAAGTGTCATTCTCGTCACTTGATCATGGTTCAAAATTACGAGATCCGTCACCAATAGCCCTTGTACAGATTTATAGAGAGACGTAAATATAACTCTCTTACTCACGCCCCACCCAGGGACGTCTTAATACTTTTTGAGGTCCTGGGCCTCTACACAACTGTAGGCTCCACCTATAACCTTTAGGGCTGTGGTAGCCCAGTGGCCAAGGTATCGGATGATGGCAGGCATGTTATCAGTTTGAGCCCAGTACCTCTAAAGACCCGCCGTGTAGGGCAGCGATGCACGTTAAATCTGTCGAGAGCCGAAACGTCCTCCCGTTGGTGTGGTGTGGTAGTTAGGAGAGGGGAGTATCGTCCACGTCACTTGACCATGGCTCAAAATGACGTGGTCCGTCACCAAAAGCCCTCGTGTGGCTGAGCAGTGTGACGTTAATATTCCCTCACTCACTCACTAGAACCCTTAAAAGTAGACAGTACGTGGCATACATTGTCAAATATTCGTACAAACAATAATCAGAAACAAATGAATGTGCATGGCTTACAATCGCGCAAACCGGCTAGACCGACTGCCGCTTTTTGACTGAATAAGTAATAAGGGTGTATGGTGGTGGGCCTAGGCCTATACACGGACAACGGTCATCTCACGTAGCCAGTTCACATATCGTCCGAAATTCCCAATTTTTCGGAGAATACAACCGTAAAAAAACATTTTTCCGTTGAAATTATTCGAATCATGATCTTATTAAGGTTGAATTGAGAACGAGACGAGATCCCCCCCATTGCGCCCGAGGCCTTGGGTACGGTCCCAGTTGATCCATGTTTTAATACGTCTCTGTCCACATCCCACCGATGGGAGGACATTGGTACTTGGACTCTTCGTTGGCATTTGGAATCAAACTCATGATACACTGGCTTCGAATTCTTAAGCATTATTACTCGGCTACCACCGTGGTCACATAAGCAAACCATGAGACTGCTATGAATGGGAATACACTTAGCAATCATACACCTGTAAGTCACGAAGTCCAGACTCTCAATGTTTCAGTCGAGCCACGTGTTCTAGTCTTGAATTTACTGATCGATTGAAAGTGGCTCATTAAAGACTCATCGATTAAAGAAGCTTAATCTATTGGTGCTGCAATTTTTTATTTTGGTATAATTTAGATGTAAACCGCACTGTGCCAGCTTATATTTCAATCTCGTTATTCGAATGTAATTCAAAATTGTTAGCTGTAGTTTATGGATCCTTAAACTATGTAGATATTGGTAGATGTAAACGCTCAGCAAGTGGACGCTGCAGCCAACTGGTTCTTATCATCGAATTCGTTGCCAGTGATGCTTTAGTTGAATGACGCGTTCAAGTACTGAATCTATTTAAGATCTATTATGTAGCAGAACTGATGCATGTTGAGGCTCATTCTAAAAGAACATTGGCTGGCCGCTGTAGCCTAATGTCGATGGTCATTTCGAGCTATTGAAGATCCACCGTATAGAGGGGCTGATGCACGTTAAATATATCAAGACTTAGTCCTCCATTAACATGATAAAGTAGCTTGGGGAAGGGATGTCCTCGTTACTTGAATGTGGTTCAGAATTATGAAGTCCATCGCCATAACCCTCGTTTTGTTTTATGGAGCACTATTAATGCACTGAAGAAACACGGATATTGAGACGTGTCAGTTCAGGAAAATATTCCATTATCCGGCTGGGGTTCAAAATTATAAAGCCTATTGGCTGTGTTTAGGGAGCCTTTCAGTCTTTCTGAAATATGTAGCTGTGAATGGTCAATAACTCAATATATAAACAGAGTCGTTTTGAATCTGACAGATAGTCGAGTCAAGAGATTCTGCTATTCTGGCAGGTAATTGTGGTGTGGGTCTTTAATAATTACATTCATACGCTTGGTCGAGGTAGCTAAGTGATAAGTTTGTGATGTGTCCAGCTGAGAGTTCGAATCTTGATTCCTCAGCGAAAATTCAATGTGCATGATGCTAATCTACTTTAAACGACACTAGACTCAAAAGTTCTTGCAGTTATAGACAAGGTACGTAACATGGCAAAAAATTTGAAGCACTGAATATCAGATCTAAAATCATTTTTTATAACCGCGGACACCTATTTAAATCATTATTTGTATCTATTCCAGTCATTTAAAATTTATTTTGATACTTATATCACTTAATTTCTGATGATTTTTTTTCTCTTACATGTAGTTGGTTACGAGCTCTGTATGCAGTGGCGTAACGTACACCCCCGCAACCCCAGCACCGTGGGGGGGAGAGAGTTCTAGGAAGCTCAAAGAACGACTCACGCCAAGTACGTATCCTTTGTAAGAACTAGTTCGGGGTCCAAAACTTGGCTTTGCACGGACACTCTAATACTCTCCGTTACACCACTGCCAGCATGTCAGGATGTCAGGTATTTTACATGTATACGAAAGTTTTAAAATTCTTTCTCTTGAAAATAGTAAAATTAGTAATTATCGTTTATTATTTTCTTTTTTGGGGGTACTTTTTAGAAAGGAATGTTATCCATACGTTAAATATTTTAATAAGTTAGATTGAGATTTAGACAGGAAAATTTTATAGTCCTCTGTATCAAAACTATTTTTTTGAAATTTTTATGAATTTATTTGAAATGTATAGTTGCCAATGAGTCGATAAAGGGTGAGATTCGAAATAGTATTTTCGAAAAATTTCGAGATTTATGATCAAGAAAATCTTAATATTTTCTTGGTGTGTGTGGTAGTAAGAAAAGGTGTTTATCTTCTTTAAAAGACAGCTGTTATATAATTTTCAGATTTCCTAGAATACAACCGAGATACTGAAAGATCTTTAATTCCATATAATGGGTCTCTCAGGATTTTAATCCAAGGGCTATACTCATATAGAAATCAACGGAATGGAAAGTTTCATATAGAAATTCTATAATATATTAAATGACTTCTTGAAGAGACTTAAAGAAATCTGCTCTCTGAATGAAAAGTTTATTTAGTATGATTTAGTGAATCCAAATGTATTCAATTCTTGAAGCTTAACATTAATTAAATTGTTGCAGCTGCTAATTTTTTTAGATACTAACGACTTTTTCCTTTTGAATAAAAAATATTTTTGTATAATAATGATTACAATTTATTCTAAATTATATTTTTCATCCAATTTTAATTCTTTTTTAACTTTTTTTATTTAGTTATTTTATTAAAAGGTTCCTTGGGGAAAAATACCTTGTAGAGTTTTCTGATAAATTTATAATGATTTTCAGAACTTTTTGTGCGTGTGAAAAAACTAATTTTAAAAGCTTCTAAATATTATATAAGGCGAATAAAAACTTTAATTAAGCATTTCCAGTATTTCATACGAAAATTTAAATTTACAAGAAAGCTTTAAACTCGCACACAAACACACATAGATTTAAAAAATATAATTAAAAAAATTAAATTTATGCATTGTAAATCAAACCATTTAAATACTTTCTTTTCCTTTTCTTAAAT